GGACCCACAATGGGGGCCAAGATACTTGGAGGCTAAGATGATGGAGGGTGGTACTGGAAACTCTTATGTACCTACACGTAAGGGTACACTAAAGATGAGAGAGAGGGATCGAAACCAGCAAGGATGGATTAGATTCACCTTCAGTTGTTGCAGATATCGGGACATCACATATGAAAGACCCCTTGGGGCAAGTGACCTGTGTTGGAAGCTATCGATTTACACAGTAGTGCTACAAAGGTGGAGGAAGCAGGAAGGCCAGGACGAATGAGCCAAACTACAAGAAAGGGACTACACAGGAATGAGGAAAATACCTGAACGGGTTCAGTGGGGACAGAGGAACTGGCGAGGAAACAAGTGTTAATGAGATGATGGAATATGTAGCAATAAAATGCAAGGGCTGTGGAGAGTTTTTTGGTTACCCAAGGGTAACGGAGTAATGAAAAGCCAGGAATGAAGCATAAGGTGGGGAAAGAAGGGTGGAGAACTCACAAGAAAACGATCAAGAGGTATGTGAGGAGCTCAACACGAGATTTAAGGAAGTATTTACGTAGAGGACAGGAGGACTCTGGGGGGACTGTCCAGATGGGGGACTCCAACCAAGGAATCACCAACAACGTGTTGGACACATAATACAGATGAGGAGAGGTGAAGAATCTGTTAAGGGGTCATCCGATACCTCAAAGGCAATGTTTAGGGACCGGACAACATCTCTCCATGGGTCCTTAGAGAGGGAGCAGATATGTTGTGCATACACTTACCAACAATCTTCTACACATCCTGGATAACTGGGAATACCTGAGGCAGGAAGACGGACATATGTAGTTCCCTTTTCAAAAAAGGAGGACAGAAAAGAGTCACTAAACTATAGACCTGTGTCATTGAAATGTTTAGTATGCAAAATTATGGAGAAGATTATCAGGAGGAGAGTGGTGGAGCACTGGAAGGACAGGAGTATAAATTGCCAACCAGCACGGATTCACGGAAGGAGATCTGTGTCAAAAACCTTCTGGAGTTTTTATGATAATATGACAGAAGTTAAGACAAAGAGAGAGGGGGTGGGTTTGGATTGCATCTTCTGGACTGCAAGAAGGCCTTTGCACAGTTCCTCCACAAGAGATTAGTGCCAGAAGCTATGAGAAATCAGGGCATTATACAGGAAGGGCACTGCAATGATCAGAGAATAAATGACAGGGAGGCAACAACGGAGTCATGGTACGTAATGATGTATCACAGTGGGGCACCTGTGACGTGAGGGGTCCCAAGGGTCGGGTCCTAGGACCAGGTGCATTTATTTTTGGTTATATGTGAACAACATGACGGAAGGTTAGACTCAGAAGTGTCCATGTTTGCAGATGATGTGAAGTTAATGAGGAGATACACTCGATCGAAGACCGGGCAGAAATACAAAGGGATCTGGACAGGCTGCAGAAATGGTCCAGCAATTGGCTCTGGAGTTCAATCCCACCAAGTGCAAAGTCATGAAGATTGGGAAAGGGCAAAGAAGGGCCCGCAGACGGAGTACAGTCTAGGGGGTCAGAGACTACAAACCTCACTCAAGGAAAAAGATCTTGGGGTGAGTATAACACCAGGCACATCTCCTGAAGCGACTTCAACCAAATAACTGCTGCAGCATATGGGCGCCTAGCAAACCTCAGAACAGCATTCCGACATCTTAATAAGGAATCGTTCAGGACCCTGTACACCGTATACGTTAGGCCCATATTGGAGTATGCGGCACCAGTTTGGAACCCACACCTAGCCAAGCACGTAAAGAAACTAGAGAAAGTGCAAAGGTTTGCAACAAGACTAGTCCCAGAGCTATGAGGTTTGTCTACGAGGAGAGGTTAAGGGAAATCAACCTGACGACATGGAGGACAGGAGAGATAGGGGGGACATGATAACGACATACAAAATACTGAGAGGAATTGACAAGGTGGACAAAAACAGGATGTTCCAGAGATTGGAAACAGTAACAAGGGGACACAGTTGGAAGCTAAAGACACAGATGAATCACAGGGATGTTAGGAAGTATTTCTTCAGCCACAGAGTAGTCAGTAAGTGGAATAGTTGGGAAGCGATGTAGTGGAGGCAGGATCCATACATAGCTTTAAGCAGAGGTACGATAAAGCTCACGGCTCAGGGAGAGTGACCTAGTAGCGATCAGTGAAGAGGCGGGGCCAGGAGATCGGACTCGACCCCCGCAACCTCAACTAGGTGAGTACAACTAGGTGAGTACACACACACACACATCACACACACACACACACACACACACACACACACACACACACACACACAAACCCCAACACACACACACACACACACAACACAACACACACACACTCACACACACACACACACACACACACATCACACACACACACACACACACACACCCCACACACACACACACACACACACACACACACACAACACACACACACCAAATACCCAAACACAACCAAACAATACAACAAACACAAACCCCCACAACAAAACAGTACAACATAATTTTAAACACAAAAAAAAAATTTAACACCAAAAAAAAACAAAAACACAAAAAAAAAATACCAAAAACACAAAAAATTTTTACTGCACATAATTTAATACAATAATTTAAGGCTGAATAATTTAGTACTAACAACAGAATTGAGAGTATTGATCCAACTTTAATAAACAAGAAAAATAAATGTTAACACCAACATGAAATTGAATTTCTTTAAAAACAAAAGTAAAGGGGAAAGGGTATATTAAAAATATAGTAAAATAGTTTTGATTCCTTTTTGGGGATAATGGTTAAGATGACGATTAAGCATTTTTTAAAGTGGTGACCAGAATAAAAATTAAAACAAGCTATCAGGCTGTAAACTCCAAGATTTACTTATTAACCATTTGGAAAAAACTTAAAGTGAAGGTTACATTTTTCTTTGATTACTTTTTTGAGGCACATTTTTCAAAAATGAACAGGTTTTTAATGAGTATAGAAAACTACTCACAGATGGAAACTGGAGACAAAGTGGGTATGGGAACGCCACATTTAAAATGGGTTTCACGATTTTTTGGCACCCTATTGGTTTGAGGCCCATTGGGAAATAAAATAAACCGGACTTTAAATGGTATTGAAACATCAACAGAGGAATGGAGACAAATGATGGTATGTGAGCACGCACATTATGGTATGTGAGCACCACATGATGGTAGTGAGCACGCACATGATGGTATGTGAGCACGCACATGATGGTATGTGAGCACACACATGATGGTATGTGAGCACGCACATGATGGTATGTGAGCACGCACATGATGGTATGTGAGCACGCACATTATGGTATGGGGAGCACGCACATGATGGTATGTGAGCACGCACATGATGGTATGTGAGCACACACATGATGGTATGTGAGCACGCACATGATGGTATGTGAGCACGCACATGATGGTATGTGAGCACGCACATTATGGTATGTGAGCCGCACATGATGGTTTTGTGAGCACGCACATTATGGTATGTGGCACGCACATGATGGTATGTGAGCACGCACATGATGGTATGTGAGCACACACATGAGGTATGTGAGCACGTACATGATGGTATGTGAGCACGCACATTATGGTATGTGAGCACGACCATGATGGTATGTGAGCACGCACATGATGGTATGTGAGCACGCACATGATGGTATGTGAGCACGCACATGATGGTATGTGAGCCGCACATGATGGTATGTGAGCACGTACATGATGGTATGTGAGCAGCACATGATGGTATGGAGCACGCACATGATGGTATGTGAGCACGCACATGATGGTATGTGAGCACGCACATAATGGTATGTGAGCACGCACATGATGGTATGTGAGCACGCACATGATGGTATGTGAGCACGTACATGATGGTATGTGAGCACGTACATGATGGTATGTGAGCACGCACATGTGGTATGTGAGCACGCACATGATGGTATGTGAGCACACACATGATGGTATGTGAGCACGCACATGATGGTAGTGAGCACGCACATGATGGTATGTGAGCACGCACAATGATGGTATGTGAGCACGCACATGATGGTATGTGAGCAGCACATGATGGTATGTGAGCATGCACATGATGGTATGTGAGCCCCACACATGATATGTGAGCACACACATGATGGTATGTGAGCACGCACATGATGGTATGTGAGCACGCACATGATGGTATGTGAGCATGCACATGATGGTATGTGAGCACGCACATGATTGTATGTGAGCACACACATGATGATATGTGAGCCCCACACATGATGGTATGTGAGCATGCACATGATGGTATGTGAGCACGCACATGAGGGTTATGTGAGCACGCACATGATGGTATGTGAGCACGCACATGTTGGGGTATATGTGAGCACGCACATGGACAATAACTGACATAGGTCAGGTCACTGGTCCCACTACCCAGGAACAATGAAAAGGGATATGTCCAAGATAAAGCCTAGAAGGACAAACTTATGATTAGTTAGACAGAGTCCATTACACGAGTAAAAAAAAAATGAACTGTTATTTTCACATGTGGAAAAAACATAGGTGTTTGCCTGCACTAAAGAAAATAAGACGTAAAAGAAAAATGTTCCATCAATAAAAACTGATCGCAACATTAAGAAAGTTAAATTACAAATACTACAGAAGATACTGGAAAGGCAGAAAAATACAAACACATACAGTACTGTATAAGCTTATCAGTGAATTTGAGAGAAAGAAAAATTTTTTTACTATTAACAGAGAAACCAAGATTGTCACAATTTTACAGTACAGTATATTAGAACAAAGAGATAACATGTCATTCTTGTATAAAAACAGAGTAATAAAGAGCTAAATGAGCTTGAAGTAAAGGTTGTATCACAATCAATGGAAACCTCTAACTCGGGACACTCTAATCACAGTGCAAATTCTGTAACTATATAACAAATAGTTCTAATAATTACACACATTAATACAAATTGTCTTGTGCATTTTACCTGTGGGGAAGAATCGTTGAATAGCCTTCGAAACATAACGTGAAAGATTGGGGCAAGCCTTGATGTGGTTCTGCAGCACTGGCACTTTTAGATCCACCTATCAACATATTTCAGATGAGAAATCAAATACTAATACTATATATAGTTCTCTGTTGTTGTTACATTGGACCCTCAGTTTTCATGTTTAATCCATTCCAGAGCAATCGGCAAAAATGGAAATCAGTGAAAACATTTTCCCCATAAGAAATAATGTAAACCCAATTAATTTTCGTTCAGATGCCCAGAAGTTTTAAAAAAAAATTTTTTTTATAGAGTAAATATAGATATACTTGCAGAAAAAATGACAAATAGTATAAAGCACTAATAAAATGTATAAATGAACGTTTAACATCACAAGTACCTTTATTAAAGACTTGTTGGTGTATGGCAGACTGGGAGGAGTTGAAGAGACAGGCGAGTTTATTGTTGCAGACAGGACAATATGCTTCAATATGACACTAATATCAACTCCACTGCTTATTTATCTATCACAATTCATCTAATATGACATAATAAACAATATTAATAACATAGAAACATGACATACTCTAGAATGAAAAAAATATATCAATATGTGTGTCACAATCTACGTAGTAGGTCGGTAGACAGCAACTGCCCAGGGAGGTACTACCGTCCTGCCAAGTGAGTGTAAAATGGAAGTCTGTAATTGTTTTACATGATGGTAGGATTGCTGGTGTCTTTTTATTCTGTCTCATACACATGCAAGATTTCAGGTACATCTTGCTACTTCTAGTTACACTTAGGTCACACTACACATACATGTACAAACATATATATACACACCCCTCTGAGTTTTTTTCTATTTTCTTTCTAGTTCTTGTTTATTTCCTCTTACCTCAATGGGGTAGTGGAACAGAATTCTTCCTCCGTAAGCCATGCGTGTTGTAAGAGGTGACTAAAATGCCAGGAGCAAGGGGCTAGTAATCTCTTCTCCTGTTATATATTACTAAATGTAAAAGGAGAAACTTTCGTTTTTCCTTTTTGGGCCACCCTGCCTCAGTGAGATACAGCCGGTGTGTTGAAAGAAGAAGATGCAGTTTAATATTGACAAATGCAAAGTTCTAAATGTTGGACAGTTAAATAACCATGCCACATATAAACTAAATAATGTAGATCTTAATACTACCGATTGCGAAAGGGATTTAGGAGTTCTGGTGTAATCTAAAACCAAGACAACAGTGCATTAGTGTTTGCAATAAAGCTAACAGAATTCTTGGCTTCATATCTAGAAGTATAAATAATAGAAGTCCTCAGGTTGTTCTTCAACTCTATATATCCTTGGTTAGGCCTCATTTAGACTATGCTGCTCAGTTCTGGTCACCGTATTACAGAATGGATATAAATGCTCTGGAAAACGTACAAAGGAGGATGACAAAGATGATCCCTTGTATCAGAAATCTTCCCTATGAGGACAGACTGAGGGCCCTGAATCTGCACTCTCTCGAAAGGCGTAGAATTAGGGGGGATATGATCGAGGTGTATAAATGGAAAACAGGAATAAATAAAGGGGATGTAAATAGTGTGCTGAAAATTTCCAGCCAAGACAGGACTCGCAGCAATGGTTTCAAGTTGGAAAAATTCAGATTCAGGAAGGATATAGGAAAGCAATGGTTTGGTAATAGAGTTGTGGATGAGTGGAACAAGCTCCCGAGTACAGTTATTGAGGCTAAAATGTTGTGTAGTTTTAAAAATAGGTTAGATAAATACATGAATGGGTGTGGGTGGGTGTGAGTTGGACCTGACTAACTTGTGCTGCTAGGTCTGGTACAGTGCTCCATCCATGAATGGGGATGACCAGACTGGGTGGGTCATTGGGATAATCCAGGGGGGACATGGACCTGCTCCGCATGGGACAGTAGGTCTGTTGCAGTGTTCTTTCTTATGTTCTTATGGTCTTATGGGTGGGTGTGAAATGGACCTGACTAGCTACTAGGTCGGACGCAGTGCTAATCCCTTAAGTGATGTGCCTGACCTCACTAGGTCAAGGCATTGGCTTAAGCCGGTGGGGAGTATTGGAGCTGCCTCACAAAGACCAGTAGACCTGTTGCAGTGTTCCTTATTTCTATGATCTTATGTTCTCATGAGGGCAAATATTCTATTAGTGGGATGGATCTGTGAAGGACCTGCTTAGTATGGGCCAACAGGCCTGCTGCAGTGTTTCTCCTTTCTTATGTTCTTATGTGTGTCACAAAAGGCATTGTGTTGTTGTTGTTGGGTGTATAAGGGCCACTGAGAGCATAAGCCGTACATAGTGGTGGTGAAGGTGGCAGCAGATACGGTGGTGTTGTCAGTAGCCCTACATTGCTCCAACAACATTGGAGGAATTGGGTTTGTGCTGTCCTTTTTCCATCGATTTATCGCTTAACTTACTTACTACACTGTTAATGCTACACTTTATTGATTGCTGGCACTATAGCCTTTATCGACTCATGCTGCTTTAGTACTGAACATATCATAGAATCACTGAAGAATTCACATTCTCCCCTTTCTTTTCCTCCTCCACTTTGGTATTTTACTACGATTTCTTTCTTTAATTCTATCGTGTTCCTCACTTCTTTACCAAAGGACTGGCACTATGAACTTTTTTTGGGCCCATGGTGGCTTATTTAGCAGTCACACACAATAAACAAGTGCCAAAAACAATGAATTTTTACAAAATGTTTTCTATGACCTCGCAGGATATGTTCACTCACCGAGAAACAACACGACATTGCCTGAGAATGTGTGGGAGGGGGCTTTGTCTGCGCACTGGGCACTGGACAGGTTCTGTACCATCAACGAAAATGGAACCAATATTTTGATGAAAAAAGTCAGTGAAAACGGAAATCGGTGATAACAGAGAGCGACAAAAAAAGGAGTAGTCCACTGTATTCTCTTGAACTCCTACATTTAACCCTTTGAGGGTCCATACCGTAGTTCTACACCTTGTCCACAGGGTCCAAGAATTTTCAAAAAAAAATTTTATTTTTTCCTATGAATGGTAGATAATCTTTTTCTGAAGGTAATAAAACAAAAATAAACGAAATTTGATGGAAACTGACAAAATTACACTATCACAAATTTTACTGCGTCACCGATATTTACACATCGACAATTTTGCACACTTTGACTATTTTGAAATTAAAATTAAATTAAAATTCTTTATATCTCGTTAATACAGTGGACCCCCGGTTATCGGCCACTTCTGTTATCGGCCAACTTGGTGATCGGCTGGTTTTTCGGCGCCCGGTTATCAGCCATTTGGGACGCGTCTGTCCGCCGACTGGAGCCCCTTGTGTCAGTTTGGCTGTGTCTCTCAGTGGCTGAGGAAGCTTCTGCTCATACATCCAAACATTTTGCTTATTTCCCATTGTATTTTGTGTTATTTTTGCAGTGCAACTGTGAAATAAGTATCCATGGCTCCATGGAATTTAAGCGTGAAGTGATTGAAAAATACGAGAGTTGTATGAGGGCGCTGGAACTTGCCAGGATGTACAGCAAGAATAAATTAACAATTACATCCATCCTGGCAAAGAAAGAACAAATCAAGGACACTAATGTTGCAAAAGGAGTAACTTTTTTAACTAAACAAAGGCCACCAATAATGGAAGATATGGAAAAGTTATTATAATTGTGGATTAAGGAAAAAAAATAAGTGGGAGACAGTGCTGTGGAGTCGATTATTTGTGAGAAGGCAAGGCAGTTGCATGAGGATCTTGCAAAGAAAATGCCTGGAACAAGTGCTGCAGTTTGTGAATTTAGGGCCAGCAAAGGATTCTTTGATAGATTTAAGAAGCACAGTGGCATACACAGTGTTGTAAGGCATGATGAGGCTGCGAGTTCTGACAAATGTGCGGCTGAAAAGTATGTTCACAAATTCCAGGACTATGTAAAGGCTGAAGGATTCGAACCCCAACAAGTGTTCAATTGTGACGAAACAGGCCTGTTTTGGAAGAAAATGCCAAACAGGACCTACATTACCCAGGAGGAAAAGGCACTGCCAGGACACAAGCCTACAAAAGACAGGCTTACTCTTTTGTTGTGTGGTAATACTAGTGGGGATTTCAAAGTGAAGCCTTTACTCATGTATCACTCAGAAAATCACAGTGTGTTTAGAAAAACAATGTCATGAAGAATAGATTGTGTGTGATGTGGAAAGCTAATCATAAGGAAATGGGTTACAAGGCCAAGAAAGGAAGTAACCCAGATAAGGACTTGGTACCTGAAGTCCTTATGGAGGGGGATTCCCCTCCCAAACACTAAGCCCTCCCTCTTTCCTCCTCCCTATCTTCCAGGAGCCAGCATTAGTCTTCAATAAAGGTATGTAATATATTTATATAATTGCTAAAAAAATTATTTTTTTTGTGAATATTTTTGTCTGGAATGGATTATAGGTACCATCTGACTTACGACCAAGCTTGGTTCCAACCAACTGGTCGTAAGTCAAAATGGATGTAAGTTGAACCTTACTACTGAATATCAACATCACACTTTCATAATGATTTTATTTTATTGTTTTATTTTGGTATTTCATTTTTTACTTTACTTTTTATGCTGTTAGTACTGTATTTTATACTGTAAAGTTTAGGAGAAACACTGTTTACAACACCAACAGTTGTTTATTTCCCAGAAATTTGGCATAAAAAAATAAGGTCGAAAGTCGAGTGGACGTATGTCAAGCAGGTCGTAAGTCGGAAGGTAGGTGTAATTGTATTTCCATTAATTCTCGTGGGAAATATTATTTCGGTTTTCGGCCAACCTTCTGGAACAGATTACGGCTGATAACCGAGGGTCCACTGTATTACAATGTGGGGTTTACATATTATAAGATATTACATATTATAAAATACTTATTACAAAGAAGGCCACTAGTATACCTAGGCATTTTGGGAAGACTAATACTAGTTCTTACTCTATATTGACACAGGATATGGATCATATTGGTATTAAGGTAAGGTAACTGTAGTGATTAACTAGATTTACAAAATTGAGGTAGTTCAAAATATTTAAGAACTTAACAGTTAGTTTATCTATTAATGGTCTCGTTTTGGCATGATGCAGTTTCTATACTGGAGTGTCTTGGGCAAACATATGACTAGCTTAAGAATTATGAAGCAATAGCTATATTCAGAATTTTATGTTTGCAGTCATGTGTAAATTAGGGGGAGTCACAGATATCAGTAAATGTACCTTGCTTTGGATATGTGCAAGATAAAGTAGTCTCCAGTTGACTAAATTCTTAGCTATTTTACTAGTAACACTTCTATTTTATCAACTGAGCACAAGAAACTGCCCAATCAACTATTTCAACCACCCAATAGTGATCAGAAATTGGTAATTTGGCTAATTTCACACAAAGTTCAAAATATTCCAATTTCAAAACAGGATCCAGAATAAACAATGCTGGAATTCTTGGAACTAAAATAACATTTCCAACATAGCAATAATTGTATAAATAATATCAGTGCATTTGTGAACGTATATTAGACCCACCAGCTGACAAGTATTGGACACGCAATGTCATTTGTTTACTCTCGAACATCAGCAAAATCTGAACATTTCCGCTACCTTGAGCTCAATTTCGAGGTACAGTAGACTCTCGTTTTTCGTAAGGCTGGAATGTCGTAATTTTCGGAAATTGTAACTTTTTTTCATCAAAACATTGACTCGCGAATCGTCGTTTGACTCGCAAATAGTCGTTCGTCTGGGACGCATACATACGGCCCCGAGCCGCCTCACACTATATTCCCAGCCAGTGTGCCATTGTTTATCAGTGAGTGAGGATGATCCCACGAGTTCATACGATACATTTCATAATATTCCATTAGTTTTAGTGCTTGCAACTGCTAAATAAGTCACCATGGCTCCAAAGAAAGCTTCTAGTGCCAGCTCTTTGGTAAAGAACGTGAGAGAGACATATAATTTAAGAAAAAGTTTGTAGAAAAATACGATAGTGGTGGTGGTAGATTGGTAGCAGTTGTGATAGTGGTAGACAGTAGTAGTGATGGTAGTAGAGGGTGGTAGCAGTTGTGATAGTGGTAGAGGGTGGTAGTGGTTGTGATGGTGGTAGAGGGTGCCTTCTTCAGTGATTCAGTGATTCTGCTAACTCCTCCAGTGTTGTTGGAGTTATATAGGGCTACAGAAAACACCGCCGCCTCAGCTGCTGCTTCACCACCATTATGGACAGCTTATGCTCTCAGTGGCCCTTATACACCCAACAACACCAACAGAACACCTCTTGTGACATATACAATGACTTATTTTATTCATTCTAGAGTATATTCCATATTTCTATGTTATTAATATTGTTTATTTATGTCATATTAGTTGAATTGTGATAGAAAAATAAGCCGTAGAATTAATATTAGTGTCATATTCTCCATCAATAAACTTGCCTCCCCTCCTCTCTGCCCCGTCTGCCATACACCAACAAGAGTCTTCGATAAAGGTAAGTGTGATGTTAAATGTTCATTTATACATTTTATTAGTGCTTTACAATTATTTGGCATTCTTTTCTGCATGTAAATCTATATTTAAGCTAGGGAAGTGGCTAGGGAAGTGACCCCTGAAGTGACCTAGAGTTCTTATGGAGGGGGATTCCCCTTCCAAATAATAACCTCTCTTCCTCTCTCTCCTCCTCCCTGTCTTCCACTCATCAACAACAGCCTTCAATAAAGGCAACTGTCATGTTGAAATGTTCATTCTTTTATGCATGTAAATCTATCTTTAAGGTAAACAAAATTTTTTTGTCAACACTTCTGGGTGTCTGGAACAATTAATTGGATTTACATTATTTCTTATGAGGAAAATGGATTCACAAATCGTCAATTTCAACAAGTCCACACTCTCTGGAACAGATTAATTACGGAAAACAAGGGTCCACTGTATTTTCAGTACTAAAACCAATCAAAATCATCTTTATTTCTGTAATATATCTTCCATTCTATCAAATGAGACCAAGAAAAGTGAATACAACTGTAAAAAACCATACAAAAATACACTAAGTTTCCAGTTATAATCCACAAACATGATTGCATTTTTTTCTCATTATGTACTGCATGCTGCAGGATTTGTTTTATGTGGTGCACACTTACTACACAGATGCCTTCTTTCATATTTAGGCCCAAATTTACCACTCACAGCTTATGTGAGTGAGCTGAGCTCATGACGTAGTACTACAAACTTGGACCCTGCTTCAAAGCCGTAGAACTATGGACAGACCCTCAAAGGTTAAACAACTCCCATCATTTACTTCCTTGATACATTTCTCATTTTAAAATGATAATTCATACTGAAAGTATTTATTAAAATTATTTACTTAGTTCATATACTCTATGTTTAATTACAGTACAATGCCCCAGTGACTATTTGCTTTACTTTTCATATCTTTTTAGCCAACCTGTTTATATATAAATTAATCTGAGAGTTAGGTTGAACTTACCTTCAGCAGTAAAGCAAGATAGGAGAAGATTAGGGCATCAATAGTGGATGGTGAACGGCCAAAGAAATATTCTCTATCCCCGAGGCGATTAGATAGCATTGTTAAACACTCCTGAGCATGCTTATGTAACTGAAATATATATATAAAAAATCTTCATCAATTTAACAATGAGACAGAAAACAAAGGCTTTGACATACGTCACATAGCACCTTCAGCTGGAATGAGTAGTGGAGTGAAGTGTCCTTCAGGAAAAAGTATGACCTGGCCTCCAAAGGTGACATAACTCTTAGGAATGACTGGATTACCAAGCATTTTAAAATTTGTAAATAATATGAGTACATATTACCTTGTTAAAACTGAATTTTGTCAAACATATTAGCATTTAGAACTGATACAATGTAACTTAGATAAGGCAGTGTAAGATTTTACTCTCAGGTACTTCCATGTTATTGTGAAATTATCAATATAAAGATAATACAAGTGATTGTTTGCCTTGTTTCCATAGGAAACTTCATATGGGTAAATTAAAAACCACACACTTGAACAGTACATACACATCACACCTATTGTGAACACTTTTTGCTTTATTGATGAGTCCACATGGTAATGATGAGTTTGAATGTTTCACTTTCATATTATTGCACAATACTAACAACTGCTCACCTCAGTTTCAATCAGCTGAGAATCATCAGGGTCATCAAATAAGCTACTGATCAGATCGCAATACCCCTTGTGATACCTCCTGGGATACCATAATTTGTATGGAAATGGAATACTGCCAAAATACCACTTGTGGATAACATCATAGTAGCTCTTTGGTTCAACCCACCTAAAATAAAAATGAAATCCAACATTACTTTGGTTCAGTTTTTTCGTCATGAAAATTAATTTTTTTTATGCACACACACACACTCGTCTCCCTAAGTAAATTCTACCGTAATTAAAATGGTTTCTATAATGACTCCATTTTATTGGCACAGAAATTATGTATTCAAAGGTTAACCCTTTCAGGTTTCCGATGTACTAGTACGGCTTACGTGCCAGGGTTATTGACGTACTAGTACAAGTAAATTCTAGTGCCTTCAAATCTTGTGGGAAAAGGCTGGTAGGCCTAGATGTGAGAGAATGGGTGTGTGGTCGGTGTTTGCGGTAGAAAAAATCTGGGACCCAGTGGCGCATTGTGGGAACAACATTTTAGTAGACCTTGTTCACCATGCCTCGCGGCAAGAAACTCCTCACTCCTTTGTGAATTGGGACACTTTTGTTTCCCAGTGACAGTTCTAATACAGATGGAAGTGCCAGTGAAGATGAGTTTCAAGGTTTTGATGAAGTTGTGACCGAAACTAATGACCATAATACCGGTAATAGCGAGGGAAAACCCAGACGACCCTTAGCCTTCCACCTCTGCTGCTGGGCTGTCTTGTTCACATTCAGTTGTACCAGAACGAAAGAGGAAACTCCTATTTTCCCATATCCCGGACTCAGATGTGAGCATTGGTGATGATAGTGATAGTGAACATGAACTACAAGCTCTTGAAAACACTTCCATTAGCGATAGTGAAGTGGAATATTCTCCAGTGAAGCGTCAGTATATACGACGATATATGCACTCTGGTAGTGTGCCATATGCTATTCCAAGAGAAAGGAGTACATCTCATGGCTGTACAACAAGAACAGATAGTGAAAATGAGGATGATAGTGTTGCAATTGGGATGGAAAATGTGCATGGTGGTGGTAGTGGTGGTGCCGGCCATGAGGCACCAGCAGTGGGCCATGCTGCCACCCACGCTGCTGCCTCAGCTGATCTACAACAAAGGCCACCACACCAGCCTCCACAACCACAATCTCCACAACCACAAACTCCACAACCACCTGTCAATATCCAGCACCCACCAGCAGACCACACCTGGGATTGGCAGGAAGCTGGCAATTTTGTTCCCAATCCCCATCAGTTTGATGAAAGTCAAAGTGGAATACGGCCATCTTGTACACTTAGGAACAATGCCACTGGACTAGAATGTTTCGAGTTATTCTCTGACGAACCCCTGATGGAAATTATTGTCAGAGAAAGCAACACATACTTCGACCATACCATGGCAAACACAGCACTTTCACCAAAATCACGCCTACACCAGTGGAAGGAGACAACTGTGGCTAAGATGTATCTTTTCTTTGCCACAATAATGCTTATGCCACATGTGTATAAGCACAGTGTCAGATCATACTGGTCAACAGACCACCTGATTATAACCCCAGGATTCAGTGAAATAATGTGAGTGAATCAATTTGTGCTATTACGTATGCTTCACTTCTCAGGCCTGACAGAAATGACAGATTATATAAGATTAGGAATGTGTTTGTGTACCTGAAAGAGAAATTCAATATGCATTTTTATCCCTTCAGGAAGCTTGTTATTGATGAGTCTTTGATTCTGTTCAAAGGAAGACTGTCATTCAAGCAGTATATACCAAGCAAGAGGAAACGCTTTGGTATAAAGTTATTTGTGCTTTGTGTTTGTTACAGTGGTATTATATTGGATATTATTCTGTATACTGGAACTTATACATTGCAAAATACCAGGAAGTTATTGGCCATCTCTGGTGATGTGGTTAGAACAATGATGGAACCGCATCTTGGTAAGGAGCATATATTATATACTGATAACTGGTACACATGACAGATGTGTGTGGCACAGTGCGTGCAAATTATAAGCATATGCCCAGGTTTGACGCTGGCACTCGTAGAGGTGAGGTGCAGGTGTTTGCTGCCAATGACATCATGACATTTCGGTGGCATGACAAATGAAATATCACACTTGTCATCAGTTCACCCTAACGAAATGGCAGACACTGGAAGGCAGAATAGAGACCAATGAACCCATACTAAAACATGGCAGCTGTGATTGATTACACCTTCAATATGCATTCAGTGGACAAATGTGACATGCAGACTGGGTTTGCTGATTGTGTTTGCAAGAGTTATAAGTGGTACATAAAACTCTTTTTCCATCTTCTGGACATTTCCATGCTCAATGCTTATAATATGTATAAGATAAGGACCAGAAACAAACCACCATATGGTGAATTTTGTTTGCCTGTCATCAGACAAATAGTATTCAAGTACCAAGGAACAACACCTGCAATAGAAAACCGCCCATGAAATTATCAACAACTACCTTCTCTCCTCAAGCATGGTGATCACTTCCTAATACAACTGCCTGCTACTACTTTCAAGAAAAAGGCTCAGAAGAGGTGTTACATCTGTGAACATACAAAAAAAACGCCACAACAATGCAGAGACACTCGTTTTATGTGTGAGAGTGTAAAACAGCACTGTGCATGAAACCATGTTTCAAAGAGTTCCACAGGCTGCAGAACTTCTAGAAACATATTCTGTGACTGTATATGTGTATATAAAAATATAGAAAAATAGTAATAAACAACATTTTACATCGTTTTTTGTGTAAACAAGTTTCGTAAACAATGTAGTGACAACAGTGTTTATGCAGTTATTGTGTAGTAAATAAAGAGAAAAAACTTACAAAATGTGCTTATATTGGTCTCACAGGCCATAAAAGTTACTTGAAAAAAAAAAAATAATAGAAAAAAGTACAAAAAAAGAAAATACGAAAATACCTGGTGACTGGCAGTCGGCGATGATGTCACATGCGACTCATTTTCTGTCTACTTTACGTCTCCATATCTCAGTAAGTATTGATGGCAAAAAATTTTTTTTTAGCCTATAATTTTTAGAAAAAAAAATGAATCTTTTCAAAAGAAACTTTTTTTTTTTTAAATTTCTCGACCCTGAGAACGAGTCTGGATTTTTTGGGTTATCCTTGGTAATTTACACTATGTATAGTTGTATTTATGTGTACCTGTGAGACAGAGATAGACAGAGAGAGAGAAAGAGAAACAGATTGAAAGAGATAGAATGAGGGAGAAAGATAATTAGATAGAATGGAGGGGGAAGCAGCATCCGACCCCATTGTTTTGACAGGCGGTAGGGGGAGTGACTAATGAGACAATATGTCATTTTGACAGCTGCCGACTCCTGACTCAAAACAATTATAAGCCACACACTCGCACACAAGACAAGCTTGCTGAAGGGTGATAATAGGAGTTTTATGAAAGTATCTAGTGACTATTATATTATAGAAACCAGAAGCAAGAAGGGAAGGCAGGAATGAAGGAAGGACTAGATGAAAGGAAGGAAAAAAGTAATGAAGGACAGATGAAGGAATGTAGGAAGAGAGGTGGAATGCCCTCCAGGTAGCCTCCAGGTAGGAAAGGAATGAAGGAAATTAGGAAGGAAGGAATGATGACACACGACCATTTACCTAGGATAACTACATAACACAACTGCCTGCTAATACTTTGAAGAAAGCTGCTCAGACGAGGTGTTTTGTCTTTGCACATAAAAAAAAAATTCAACAAAAATGCACACACACTGATTTTGTGTGTGAGAGTGTAAAACACCATTGTGTATGACACCATGTTTTATGTGTAAGAGTGTAAAACACCACTGTGTATGACACCATGTTTTATGTGTAAGAGTGTAAAACACCCTGTGTAAACAAAAATGTTTTAGTGTAAAGTGTAAAACACCACTGTGTATGAACCATTTTTTATTTAAGAGTGTAAAACACCCTGTGAAAGAACCATTTTTATTGAAGAGTGAAAAACACCACGTGTAGACACCAAAGTTTCAGAGTTTTTCCCCAAAACTGCAGACTTCAGGAGAATTTTCAGTGACTGTATTTTGGGTATATATATTATAGAGAAATAGTAAAAACAATTTTTGTTTTGTTTTTTTTGAAAACAATTTTTGTAAACAAATATTGAAAATTTATGTTTGTTGCTTTTGTGTTGTATACATGTAAAATTTTTACATTCCCCTTATTTTGGTCTCACAGGCCACTAATTATGTGAAAAAATAAAATAGTAAAAAAAACAACAAACCTTCAAATACAAGTAAACTAAAGTTTACCGGGTGAGCGGCAGTCGCCGCTGTTGCCATACACGGCTCATTTTCTGCAAACTTCATGCCTCTATATCTCGGTAAGTACTGATGGGAAAAATTTTTTTTTGGGACTAAAACAATCAGAAAAGTAATCTTAACATTTTCATAAGAAAAAATAATTTTTTTTTTATCGAATATTTTGCGACACCAGGAGACACTTCAGGATTGGGCCCTTCGACAGTCAAAGGGTTAAGGCAGTTAACCGAATTTCTTCGGTAATATTTCTTAAGGATGTTGATATGATAAAGCTTAGGTTTCCCCTTGACTTCTATGAGGTAATCAACTTTCCCACAAATTTTTAATACTTTATATGGACCTTTCCATGCTATTAATAATTTATTTGACTTGATCGGCAAAAGTACAAGAACTTCATCCCCTACTTTAAAACTTCTCCTCTGACTTTTGGAATCAAAATTGGTTTTGTACTGGTCCATTGACAAGCTTAAGTTTTTCGAAACTATGTCAGAGGTCTCCTCAAGTTTGGATCTAAGGTCAAGGAAAAAATTGTAAAAAGGGACTAAACCCTCAGCATTTTACCCCCTCATTAGTCCATAAGTCATGAAGGATGGACAATGGGCCTCTGGCCTGTCTACCATAGAGAAGTTCAAAAGGTGAAACCCCAAAGAGTCACTGGGAACTTCCTCATGGCAAACAAAGCACAGGGTTGGAAACGATGCCACTCCTTGGGTTTTAAAGGGAGAAAAGTTTCCTTTAAATGGACTTGAGAATCGAATGCTGGCGCTCAATCCTCCCATTACAGCTGGGTGATAGGGTTTTGGTGAGGGAGGCTTCACTCCAGAAGTTGGT